CGAGGCAGAGGAGAGTGACGAGCCAGAAGAGTGGAGGGAGCACTTTTGTCCACCAGCAGGTGCAATGGAGGAGCTGGGGTCTGGGGGGGGGGTCAATAGTAGCCTTGGTCACTAGAGATTGATCTGCGTTCACCCCAATACTTTTTCAGCAATATAAAAACTAGAATGTATAGTTTCCTCAAAGGATAAGTGTGTCTGTCTTTAAATATTAATACAGTAGTCCCTCGCTACTTCATGGTTCGTTTATCGTGGTTTTTCAAAGTAAGATTGGACATGACACAATTGGCTGATTGATGGATGAGCCATGGATTGTTTATTTTAAATAAATTTATTTTAAATGTTTGTGCACCATGTGTGCAGCCCACAGGTGCAGGGGGAAGCTCCCTCATGCAGCTGATCAGCTGATCTTCTCTGCCACGCACACATTTCTCCTGCATTGGCTTTGTGAAGGGTTAACCCTTTGATGTCCTGCTGCGCTTCTCTTCTCTACAATTTACATTTAAATACTGTAACATTTTAAATACACAATCCATGCTGTATGGATTGTTTATTTAAAATGTTACAGTATTTAAATGTAAATTGATTATTTAAGGAGGGAGATTTGGAGTAACAGGTGATGAGTGTGATTGCAGCCTGGCACATATCATGACAAAGTTTACTGAACTTGAACTTGAACTACTATATCCCTACTTCGCGGTTTTTCACTTATCCCGGGGGGCAGGGTACGGAGCCCCCGCGATAAACGAGGGATTACTGTATATATTGTAGTGTCCATCTTGGATTTTGACGTGGCGACCCAATTTTCAATAGTGGCCTTTCTTACATGTACATGCAGCCACACACCACAGTGGAAGTCGGTACCTCACTTATTTGTCAAATGATCATGCTTACAACATGCACGGACAAATGGATGATGTTTCCTGTTTGCTTTGCAACGGGGACAACACCCTGAGCTTTAAGGGAGTTGGTCAAGCTAGCTCAGAGCTAAAAGTAGAAAAATGCTAGTTGGTGAAGATCCTCAGTGACCCAGGACATGGTCAATTCAAAAAAGTTCGACAAAAACAACTGGACTTTATTCGTAACTGAAGACGTTTCTCTTCTCATCCAAGGAGCTTTCTCAATTTAAAGAACAGAAAGTGGGGTTTGAGCTATAAAGCTGAGCTAAGCTAGATATATATGCAGATTGCCTTTTCACTCCTCACAGTATGTGTTAGTTAAGATCTTTGTTAGTTTGGTTTACAGAGGAGCCACTCTGGTCACATGGATGACATTTCTGCTAGGTGTGAAACTGGCTGGGTATCAGTCCTAAAGCTGCGTTATAAGTTTTTGAAAGTTGAAATCTGAGGCCTCCTCCTCTGTTTAGAGATGGTTTCTCTCTTTTTACAGAAATTATTTCCTTCTTCACCCCACTCTCAAACCATCTATCTTCTCGGTGCAAAATGTGAACATTCTGGTCCTCAAAAGAGTGTCCCTTATCCCTGAGGTGGAGGTGAACAGCTGAGTCTTGTCCAGAGGAGCTGGCTGTCCTGTGTTGAGCCATGTGTCTGTAAAGTAACTGGTTTCTCCAGTATAGAGATCTGAACAGTCCTCGTTGCACTGGACTGCATAAACCACATCACTCAGTTTTTGTATGAGTGCTTTGTCCTTAGGGTGGTCCAGCCTCTGTCTGAGAGTCCTGTTGGGTTTGAAATGTACTGGGATGTTGTGTTTGTTGAAAATCCTCCTTAGTTCCTCTGATACTCCAGCAACATAAGGGATGACAATGTTTTCCTGTCAGTTGTTCTCCTTTTTCTGTTTATTGGTGTGTTTTGTAGATTTCCTTGCTGACTTGACAAAAGCCCAGTTATGATATCCACATGTTTGGAGAGTGTCTCGGATGTGTTTCTGTTCCTTTTCCTTCCCTTCTGTCTTCGTGGGGACGTGTTCAGAGCGATGCTGTAAAGTTCCGATGACGGAGAGTTTGTGTTCCAGTGGATGGTGAGAGTCAAACAGAAGATATTGGTCTGTGTGGGTTGTTTCCTATAAACTTCAATGTTGAGGCTGTCCTCTCTTTCCATCTGAACCAAACAGTCCAAAAAAAGGCAGCTTGTTGTCGTTTGCATCCTCTCTGGTGAACTTGATGTTGTTATCGACCGAGTTGATGTGTCTGGTGAACGCTTCTACTTCATTAGGTCGGATTTTGACCCAGGTATCGTCCACTTATCTGAACCAAGTTTAGGGCTCTCTGTTCCACTTCCTCCAGTAGAGGTTGGCCGCAGTGGGTGACACTGGAGATCCCATGGCACAACTGTGTCTGTAAAAACTGTAATTGAACTTGAAATTAGTGGTGGAAAGGCAGAGGTCCAGCAGGTGCAAATCTGGTCTGGGGTGAAGTTGTTCCTGTTGTTTAAGTCCTTGTCTTGTAGAAGTTGTTTCCTGACGGTTTCTACGGCTTCAGAAATGGGTATCCAAGTGAAGAGAGAAGTCCCATCATATGAAACAAGAGTTGCAATGGGAAAAAACACTAGTTAAAAACAAAAAGTAGTAAAATGCAAGATAAAAGTTAAAAAAGCCAAAACACCAGCTAAAGGTAGCCTTAGCTCAGAGCTAAAAGTGGCTGAACACTGGCTAAAAAGTAAAAAATTGTGACATGGTAGCTAAACCCTCAAGGTAGCTTCAGAAGTCAACGAGCGAGCAGCTGAAACTGATTTGAAACAAAGTTTTTGAAGAATTTGTGCAGATTCTCATTCATTTCTATGGAGATTTCTTTTAAATAAAGTAAAATGTTATGAAAAGTCTAAAAGTTACAAAATCCAAACGTCGCAGTGCACACCTCCTGAACGTTTTGATACTTGCCTCTATAAAACAAGTCTGCAGAAATCATTACGTGTCAAAACAGGTACGGAAGAAAAGACAAAGAATGAAGAGAAACGATGTTGATTTAAAAAACGAGACGCGTTTAATGAAACCTGCACAATAAAAACTAAAAGAAAAAGGCGGGAGGTAAATTTAGAAGAAGGTGTTTGTCCTGACTCTTGCAGTTTGGACGTCTCCTAACTTTTCTGATCAGTGATCATTTCAGTCAGAGCTGGTTCGGTGCAGAATGTGTGAAAATGTTTGTTTTCTGATTCACATCAAAGATAAAATAAAGGAGCCTCGGGGCGACGAAGAGGAGGAGGAGGGTGTGAAGGGCGTGAAGCGGCCTGCAGCTCTGCCAGATCACACAAAGTCTGAAGAGTCAACGTGAAGACGAGCTGAGACATTATGAGTGTCGGAGAGGAGCAGCAGAGGGCAGCATGTCGCCATCACTCACCTGAGGACTCACCTGAGGACTCAGGTTCACTGATCTCAACTGAAACAGTTTGTTTAAACAGGAGGAGAGAGACTGTTGGATTTATGTTGGTGATTTGTTTTATAGTTACATGGTCACCCACCACCATCATAAACAGGTGGGTGATCATCTAACTGCCTGTGTGTTTGTTTGTCTGTTAGCCAAATATCTCATGAACCACTGGACATATTTGAATGAAACGTTCAGAAAGCAATCATTGAACAAACATCTATAACTGAACAACGTTTGGAGTTAATCTGTTAGAAGATGGCCACCACAGCTTGTCAACATTAGAAAACTCATAAATGGGCATGATTCAGCCACTTTTACAGATATTGAGCGAACATTTGGGTTGGTAGTAGCCTAGAGTAGTCCTCGGTACATGCTCTGAGCACAAACAAGTTGAGTGAAATTTATTTCTAAAAGTTTGCCAAAAACCTGTTGAAGCTAACTCTTTCTGTTAGCAAAATATTTCTTAAACCAGCAAATGTATTTTAATTAAACAAGTCAAAAAACATTACTGGATGCACATCTGCAAAGTCAACCCAATTCAAGATGGCTGCCACAGCCACGAACCTTAGTAAACACCAACATGGCTACAATAGAGTCACTTTTAGAGGTTTTGGTCTTTTTGCTGACAGTCACCCCCAACACATAATCTGAGCACAACACAGTATGATATTTTACTTAAAATGTTGGCAATAATGTTTGGCATGAAATCTTTCTGTTAGTAAAATATCTCATCTCATAAACCAGTGGACAAATGTTTATGAAACTCTCACAAAGTAAACACCGAGTGAACGTCTGCAGCTCTTGAACATTTTGGAATCAAAGCAAATCAAGATGGCTGCCACCGCTTACTGATATTAATACAAAACAACTATAACTTTTGCAGATATTGAGCTAAAATTAAGGGTGGTAGTAGCTGAGCATCATCTCCATGATATTCTCCGAGATCTTATTAATGTGAGATTCATTTTGGCCATTGTGGCAGCACAGGCAGCGGGTGATATGCATCCTCAAAACGTTTCAAAGTATTTGGCTGATTTAGAGTCCTGAAGTCTAAACAGGTTTCTGGCTGATTTTAGCATCATTCAATTTTTGAATGTTTGTCTCTCAACTCATATTTTTAGACAAAAGGTTTTTAAGGTATTGAGCCGAGGACATTTTGTCCCATCGTCTCGGTGACGTTTGGGACAGATGCTTGAGTGTCTGTGGGGACACAGAAAGATGATGAGATGTTAAAACACTATAGTTTAGCTCGTGGAACAGGAAGATAATGAATAAAAGTGTTCCGAGAACGGAGCCTTGAGGAACCCAATTCGATCGGTTCCACCCAGAACACGTGTTGGAGATGACTCTTGGCTACTACCACTTCCAGTCAGCACAATATTTGTAAAACCAACTGAGTTGTAGCTATTTCTGTGTTATTTGAGATCAGTTAACTGCGGCGGCCATTTTGATCGGTGTTGATTAAAAAAATTAGGAGTTGCAGACAAACGTGATGGATTTTCCAAGAGTTTCAGTACAATTCACACCTGTTCATATTTTGCTAACAGACAGACAAACAAAACAAACACACAGGCGGTTACATGATTGCCTGCCTTTAGTGGCAGTGAGGGTCTTTATTCTAATTTTCAGTTTCTGCTCGTCCGTGTTTGTCATGTTGAAAAAAGACAGAACTCAACCAGCTGATCTGAACTGGTTTTATTGTTGAATCTGATCTGAGGTCAGTGAACAAAGAGGAGCTGCTGAGAGACTGCTTCAGTGTGTCACAGACGAGGAGGTCGTGGAAGACGAGGAGGAGACCACCTTCCCATCCACCACCTCCTGCACCATTGTCACCACCCGCTTGGTCGAGGTGGAGGAGGACAAGGAGCTGTGGACCAATCAGAACAAAGATAAGATGAGTGTCTGCATCACCTGCCGGCTTCACTTTGAGTCCCGCAATGTGATAAGGCCTCACCCGATGGCCTCTCCGTCCAGCAGGCGCCGGTACTCCGCGATCTCCATCTCCAGTCGGGTCTTCAGGTCCAGCAGGGTCTGATAATCACTTCCCTGTCGCTCCATGTCAGCCCTCAGGTGCACCAGCTGGTCCTCCAGACTCGTAACCTGTAGACCACACACAGGTGAGACTTTAGCTCCACCCACTTCTTTCCTCCCGAACAAACAGCACAGAACGGTTCCCACCTGCATCTGATAGCCGTTCAATTTCATGGCGTATCTGTTCTTAATCTCAGCCAGGGTAGCTTCCAGAGACGCTTTCTGCACAAAAACCACAGAAGAAGAAAAGTTTGCCTTCAAATCCAACACAAACGTTTCAAAACTAAAATCCCAACATCCAGAAAAAAACATATTCTATTAAATTTGAAATGTTTTGCATTTGTAACGATGCTGTATTTGTCGTCTGTTGTTTGTTTGTTGTGTTGCCGTTGGCGACGCTCACCATCCCCAGCATGGACTGCAGCTCGATCTCCAGGGACTGCAGCGTCCGTTTCACTTCTGTCACTTCGCTCTTGGACGTCTGCAGCGTCGCCGTCTGAGACACCACCTCTTTGTTCAGGGTCTCTGTCTGCACACACACACACACACACACACACACACACACACACACACTCTCAATGGGTCAGTGTGCACATGGACCCAGGACAACAGGAAGTGATGTCACGACGTGTACCTTGGCCTGGAACCAGTTCTCCAGCTCTTTGCGGTTCTTGGCGGCGACACCTTCGTAGTGTTCTCTGATCTCCTCCATGACCTTGTTGAGGTCTTGAGCGGGCGCGGCGTCCACCTCCACATGGACCTGACCGCTCATCTGAGCGCGCATGGCCAGCAGCTCCTGCTCACAAACAAACAAACAAACAGGTGAAGGGTTTAGTGAACTCTTCAATCTGTTAGACTAAACCAGTTTCTCTGACTGGATCTGTTGTAAAATCTAAACAAAGCAACGTTGATGAAACGCCTCGGATCAAGACTTTGGACGTGTGTAGCAACTTCTCACCTCCTCGTGGTTCTTCTTGAGGTAGATCAGCTCCTCCCTCAGACTTTCGATCTGCATCTCCAGGTCCGTCCTGGCCAAAGTCAGCTCGTCCAGAACCCTCCGGAGACCCGCGATGTCGCCCTCCACAGACTGACGCATTGCCAACTCGTTCTCATACCTGTAAACAGTGATGAAGAGGAACAGTGATGAAGGACAGGAGCGATGATGAGGAACAGTGATGAAGGACAGGTGTGTTGACGGGGAACAGTGATGGACAGGTGCGTGGACGGGGAACAGGTGTTTCATGCCGACATGTAAAACTTGAGACGTCACAAAGACATCAGACAATAAACAGGAAGTGAGATCAGACCTGATCAGGCGTACTGATCACATGATCAGTTGGACTCACTTGGTCTTGAAGTCGTCAGCAGCCAGCCGAGCGTTGTCGATGTTCAGGTGGACGGCTCCGTTCACCTTGATGGCATTCTGAATCTGGAGACAGGAAGTCCATCATCATCATCATCATCATCATGAACTCTCAGGCATCACCTGACTCCTCAGATCCGATTCAGGAAGGTCGGGTGTTTTTGATCTTCTTTTCAAACTTTAATCTATTTTAATAATCTGGATCCAGATTATTCTGAGGGGAATTATAATGTTTTTATTTTTAAACGGAGTTTACAGATTAAATATATAAATTTACCTGAAGTCTTTCTGTTTGTTACCTGAGATCCTTTCAGCCTCACAGACAGAACAACTAAACGTTACGTGTTTTACAGGTTCGACCGCCAGACTCCTGCACCTGCAGCTCTGAGGACCAAGATGAGGATGAGGAGGGGTTTTACCTTATCAGTGATCTCACTGATGGTGCTGTAGAAGCCGCTGTAGTCCCGGGTGGAGGGCCCCACCTTGTTCTCCACAAACTGCCGGATCTTCAGCTCCAGCTCGGCGTTGGCCTTCTCCAGCCGCCGCACCTTCTCCAGGTAGGAGGCCAGACGGTCGTTCAGGTTCTGCATTGTGAACTTCTCGTTCCCGACCAGGCCATCGTCCAACCCGGACCCACCGAAGCTCATCTGGGAGGAGTAGCCTCCACCCATGGAGGAGTAGCCTCCACCCATGGAGGAAGAGGAGATGCGCACCCCGGAGCCCCCAGCCCCACCGTACACGCTGCCGGCTCTCATGGCGGAGATCCTCGAGCCGTCTCCAAAACCCACCATGGAGCTCCCTGATCCGATTATGGAGCCCCCGGATCCACCCACGGAGGAGCGGATGGAGTGGGAGGAGGAGCGGGACATGAGGCTGGAGGTCATGGTTTCTGCAGGAGCTTCAGTCAGAATGAGGAGGTCTGAGACTCTTGCGGCTTTTAAAGGAGCTGCAGTGAAAGCAGCTGTCAATCACAGCTCGGCCCACAGCAGGAACGTGTTCGGGTCGGGCCTCCTGAGCTGGGTGTGGAGGGGCGGGTCAGGTGGCCTGTCTTATCGGCTGCAGGCTCTTTACGGCCTTTACTGCCTGTTGAGACGATAATCCTCGGCTGCAGGAAGACAAAATGAGAAGCTTCAGGCTGAGGTGGAGCGTTTCTGCAGAACTCCCTGCAGCTGCTCTAAATCCTCAACATTCATCAATGTCATGACAGAACGGAGCTTCGGTTTAGTTCAAGGTCAAAGCAGAACTCAGACATTTTTCATCTCCTGTCAGGACCGAGCCAGGAGCCGTCACGTCTCCTCAGCTTCATCTGCTCCATTCTTTTTGTGCATCCAGATGGATCAAGATGTTCTGACGAGTTCCACAACAAACCGGTCCAAACCAGCAGAAATAAACATAGTTCCTCAGAGGAATGCCTGTCGCCCGCCGCCTTCATGCCCAGGTTTAAACCCAGATGTGCTGTGACCCATCAGAGCTCGGAGCACGAGTTCTGGAGGACTCTCAGCTACTACCACACTGAAGCTCCTCTGTGTGTAGAAATCATGAAGTTAGCTGTCACGACCATCTTGACTTGACGGGTTCAAAGGATGATCCATTTATTCAAACCTGTCCAGTTGTGCATGAGATATTTTGCTAACTGAACCAAACACATCAGACAGGTGCCTACAGAACCTCGACCCAGCCAGCTGAACCAGGTCCGGAGACCTGCAGAACCTCTGTGAGGATCATGAACTTGGACTTCTACAGCTCCTTCAGAACCATCCAGCTGTGGGGAGATGATGTGCTCTGTGGAACTGGAACCAGGACTCTCCAGGGTCTTGGTCTGGGAAGATCCTCAGCAGCATGGGGGCCACAGCGTACAGTTCTGTCCCGGTTCCTGTTCACCCTGTGTACAGACCTCCAGCAGCCCTTCCTGCAGAACTCAGTTCTTCAGAACTTCTCGCTGATTCAGCGCTCGTTGGTTCATCTGCAGCTGGACGCCACCGAGACCAAGGAGAAGGTTGTGGACTTTAGATGGAGGAGGTCCAGACCAGCCCCAGAGAGAGGACATGGAGATCTTGTCCTGTTCCTTGGACTAGAACTCGACTGGACCGCTCACGTGGGGTGCTGGAAACGGGTCAAAGCCAGTTTTACTGAAGATGACTCAGATCCTTTAACATCCGTCTTCTCATTGAACCAGTACCTAGAGAGCTTCAGCCTGAACCAGCCCTGGATCAGAACTTGGTCCCCTACAGGTTTGCAGGGGACTGAGCATGTACAAAGCATGCTGGGAGCTCATCCACCTGAAGGTCCAGCACTTAGAACCCATCAGAACCGAGAGGATCGGGACCAAACAAGAACAAAAGCCTTTAGTTTGTTCAGAACAACGATGGACAGAGACATGGACAGAAAGACAGAGGAGATATATGGACACAGTTGGAGAGGATATGGAGGTGGTTTGAGTGAAGACAGAGGACACAGAGGACAGAGGGAGATGGAGGAGGATGACTTGCTGTGGAGACATCTGAAGAGGGAAAAGCCGAAAGAAGAAGATTGAATCCCTTCCTGACAGGTGGAGTTTCTTCACTGACCCCTGCAGGTCTTATTAACAGGATCTAAACCAGATGTGGGCCAAACGTGGCCCGTGGAGAGTCTCCATCCGGCCACATATACCCTTAAATGAAAGGAAAGCAACTTTTTAAAAAGTTGAGGGAAATCTGCATTTTAACAATAAAAAAAATTACGAAAAATTACGAAAACTTTTAGATGAAAAAATAAGCTAAAGTTTTTGGGAGTTATGTTCCTAAACAGCCTGAACCTTAAATGATTATGAGGACAGCTGTGGCTGAGTGGTTAGAGCAGTCGTCCTCCAATGGGAGAGTTGGGTGTTCAATTCCACCAGCAGTCACATGCCGAAGTGTCCCTGGGCAAGACACTGAACCTCTCATTGCCTCTGATGTGTGTCCCATCAGTGTCTGAATGTGATAAAGCTCTGATTATTCTTTGTACAGATCTAGTAGAGTGCACGAATGAATGAGGACACAGATTGTTGTAAAGAGTCTTGATAAGGTAGAAATGAGCTGTATAAGTACTGTCATTTACTATTTAAACCTTAAACCTATAACTAATAATTATAATTTAATATTTCTTCTATATTTAGGTTAATATGTTGTCACGAGCCAGTTTATTAAGTTCCTAGAAAGTGTTGCTACAAGAAATCCTGAAAAACGTCTTCCAGATTATTTGTCCTGAATCAAATCGATTTGTTGCCCTTTAATTGATTTAAAGATCTTCATTTGGCCCCCGATGATTTAAACCCTCAACAATCTTCTACAGGACCTGATGAAGAGTTTGTCTCCTGAAACAAGAAGCTCTCTGCAGGAAACATTACAGTTTAGATTATTTGGTTAAATCTCAGATGTCAGCTCTTAAATGAGTAAATTTCACCTTCCTGAAGGTTCCCTCCGACTCTGAATGTCGCCTCGTGGCGTTCTTTGTTCCAGTCGGTCCACTTCCTGTTTGTCACATCCTGCTTTGATTTATTTCAGGATTACTTGCTGTACGACATCAAATTTATCTGGATTAACTGTTCTTATCACGGTGGAGATTTATGGTGGAATGTGGACACACGTTTGGCGTCTGACCAGAACTGGAAACTTGTGAAAAACTAGTTGCCGAAAGAAGCAAAACAGTAGCTAAAAACTATAATCTCTGACTGGAGCCAGTAGCTGAAGCAGATTTCAAAGGGAACAATGATTTTAAAGGAAGTGAAAAGATCTCGTGAAAACCTTGAGAAGTATCAAACAGAACTTGTTGCACCATCTCCTGATGGAGCTGGACGTTCCCTCCGTCCCTCCCACAGATAATCTTTTCTCCCTCCAGAGGAGTCCAGGTCCGTCCTGGGGTCTCCTCCCAGTGCCTGGAAAACCTCCATAAGGAAGCATCCCCATCAGTTGTCTGAACCTCCTCATGAGGAGGAGCTCCCAGCTCACCCTGATGATCAAGCTCCTCACCTTGTCTTCAGGGCTGAGCACAACCACTCTACAGAAGAACCTTTTGGATCCAGAATCTGGTCCTTTCAGTCCTGATCCACACCTCCTGACCACCGGTGAGAGTTTGAACAATAAACCCAGAGCTTCGTCTTTCGACTCAGGTCTGTCAAAGGCACTGTGCGAATCTGGGACGGTGACCCTGAGGCGGTTGATGGAGACGGCCGGACCAGACTTCTCCAATGTCTGAGAGGTGGTTTCGTTGCTTGGGGTCCGGTCTGCCAGAGTGGTGCAGCGCTCCCTGGACCTGGTGAAGGAGAGGAGGACAGCTGGGGAGGAGCATCTCTTGCAGCTGTGGTCCACGGAGAATCGCCCACCTGACCCAACGGACCCTTTCCCGGACATCCATTTGGATCCTAACTTTGCGAAAGACAGTGGTCCTCTGCTACGCAACACAGAACCAAAGATAGACTTGTGCAGAACAGGTCCAAAAGTACTTTACAAGATTTACTGTATGTTAAGATCCTGAACAAGAGAACTCTGCACAGCAGAGCTGCCAGTGTGTGGGACGACAAGCTCAGAGGTCAGAAGCCCCAGTGGAGGACACTTTATAAACCTCCACCTAAAAAACGGACTGGCGATCTTCAATGGAGGATCCTTCATGGCGCCATTGCAACAAACTTTTTTGTCGGTCATCAAACCTTGAGGTTTTAAACGAGTGTCCTTTTTGCAGTTTGTCCGAGTGTTTTTCATGTTTTTACAGATTGTGTACGGCTGATGACTGTTTAATCTAATGACGAGGATCTTTAGCCTTTTTGACAGTTTTCACCAAATCTGTTTTTATTAATGGAGTACATTACAGCAAAGCCACGAAGTTTAAATCTCAAACTTTAAACTTTTTAGTGGCCGAAGCAAAAATGTCTGTTTACTTGTGTCGCAGGGACAGACTGCAGGCTGGACCTTGACTTGATGCCGTGGCTCTGTGGAAGTGCAACGTCAAGGCCAGACTGGCGTTGGAGTTTTGCTTCTACAGAGCCACTGGACACTTGGAGAACTTTGTGAAACTGTGGGGATTTAAGAAGGTTTTATGCACCATTTCTGATCAGGGACAACTGCAGTACAACAAGCTCCTTATGTAAATATTTTATTTTAAGCTTGTCCTGATCACCTTTTTTTTTAACACTGCTGTGTTAGTGTGTAAAAAAAGTTTTGTCAAAAAACCCAACTTCTTCTTGTTCTTCTTCTTCCATCCTCAGGAACAAGACTCCCAGATGCCTGGACTTCTCCACTGGAAGCAGAGCCTGACCCCGGCCCAGATGTAGTGGTCACCTCCAGAACCGGCACCTCAGACTAGGAGGAGCCGAGACTCGTCCTGGTGGCTGTGAACACTTTGGTGCTCGTTGAAGCCGAGGCCTGAAAACGCCAACAGAACATCATCATCATCATCATCACTTTTAGTGATGTTTGTTGTCTCAGCTTTACACAACTTCTGTTTTAACTTGATTTATTTTGTTCTTTAGAATAAAGAACGTGGAGTTTCGTTTTCACAGAACCAAAAAGGAAAAAGCAGCTAAAGAGAATGGATGGAATCTCGTCTTTCAGGAGCCAAAGTTTCAATCAGCTAAAAGAACTGAGCGTTTGCAGCGTCCTGCTCTTGGTTTCAGTCCTAGATTCTTGCCAGACATCTGTCATCGTGTTTTCTTCATAATTCAGCTCTTCTGAAACGTTCTGAACCCTCACCCTGATTCCTCCTAACCTGCCACCATCCAGTGTTTATGAACACCTCTCCCCATTCTTTGATAAAAGCACACACCCACCTCACAAAGACTTATCTTTCATCAGCGAGCCGCTCACGCCCTCATCAGCAAAGTCAACATCCCCGGTCAAAACTCATTCAGTTTTTCTGTTCAGTTGTAAACCGGTGAATGTGGACGGACCTGT